TTTCGCAAGGGAGAAAAAGATCAACTCTGTGAAATACGTCGAAGAAAGGCATGGTCCAACAAGCCACAACCCAATGTAAAAGTTCGAATTGCTCCCAAAGATCAGCCAGATGAAGATCAAAGGTCATCGTCAACTTCATCGTCATCAGAGTACACCACCCTCGTCGATGAAAACAAAAGGCTGAAGAATGAAAATGGAGTCCTAAGCACCGAGCTTTCCATCATGAAGAAGAAATGCAAGGAACTTCTTGATCTGGTGGCCATCTATGGAGGAAACTCTAAAAAAGAAGATGAAGAAGAAGAAAACAGAAAAGATGACGTGGGACCAATGCTTTTTGGGGTTAGATTGGAAATTCGAGGGGAGATGGAGAAGAAGAGAAAAAGAGCAGATAACGTTTGTGAAAGTTCAAGGCTTTTTCTGTCACAGTCTTGCAAATAAATAATTTTATGAAGGGCATGCCCTTTAAAATCGGACGGACTGCTGATAAGTTGTTCAAGAAAATGTTATAGTCCTATAATGATCTGTAAAGACAGTTCAGTACTATGGCAATAAATTGTGTATTATCAATTTTCTTCTAGCTCACAAAAATTGGGAAAGGAGTATAATAATTAATTGACATTAACAGTGTCAACCTGAATGTTTATTGCCATAACTTATATTAGAACAGGAATTACAAGATTAAGAGAGATGACGACAAAAACTATATTTTACATTTTTAATCTGAGAAGTCAAGTGCTTGCCCAAGTCTAATTAGAAGTTTGCGTATCTGGGGAAGTAATTGTGGATACATAAAATATAAATATATGGCTGTGTGGAAAAAAAAAAAAAAAGTCTAATTGATGATTAGATTATCTAGACAGTTTTTTATATAAATTTTAGTAGATTGTTATAAAAATTGATGAAATGTATAATTAAAAAGGTGATGAAAGTTACAATTTTCATAAAATATATGATTCAAATTTGAAATTTGACATGTTGAAAATGTAATAAAAGATGAAAAGAGTAATTTTAGTAAGAGTTTGAATTCTTTCTTTGAGTACTTATAAGATAAAACTGACTTTCTTGAACCACAAAATCTAATATTTGCAATAAAGTTTAGGGATAATTGCAGCAGTGGTATCAAACCTTTCAATTTATTGCAGACTTTGTCCAAACCTTTAATTTGTGCTACTCACAGTACCAAACATTTCATTTGTTCCACCCACGATATCAAACATTTTCAAAATGTCGCAGCTTAAGTCCAAATTGATGATTTCTGTTAGTTTGACCGTAGTTGACCAAATAATTTACTTTGACAATACTTTTGAATAATTTTAAAAGATTAAAATGGTAACTTTACATATTTATAATAAAATAACCAAAATCAAAATATTTAAAATTAAAAATCAAAAAATGAACCCCACCCCACCCCACCCCACCCCAAAACCATCACCACCACTGCCATCTCCTCCATCGCCATCACTACCATCTCATCCACCATAATTAATAGCTACACATCTACTCACCACCAACCAAGCGAACAAATTCTACTTTTTGAAATCAATTTTACAAATTAAAGGTAATTTTCTGCACAAATAGCGACCATAGGTTGGGTTAGTGTTGTCTTTACTTTTCTGTACTGTAATATGAGCAATGAACAAAACCCATAAAGATGAAGACTCAAGAAGAAAATGTCCAGTCCTCCTTGCTCGATTCCCTTTACCATGAAGAAAAAAAGTGGGGAGAATTTGAATAAGGGAGTGAAAAATTCAACTTTAATTATGGAAATTTGTCCTATTTTTCTAATATGTTAATAGAACATGATTTGTTTTGGGAAGATGAAGATCTGAACTCTCTTTTCTGCAAAGAAAATGATGCATTTGTTGATGGAACACGCTCTCCTTTCTCTGTAGGCACGCATAGATGCAGTGGAATGGATCTTGAAAGTCAAAATTTTTTATGGGTTTTCAACGTTGACTGTCATGCTTAAAGTAAATTATCTTGACATGTTTCTTTACAGCATCCTTTTTCAGAAAGAGAAGACGTGGATGATCCAATTTGTAGCAGTGATTGTGATGGTTTTGGGGTGAGAGTGAGAGTGAGAGTGAGAGTGGGTATGTGAGGGATGGAGAAGATGAAATTGATTTTTTGATTTTTAATTTTAATTATTTGATTTTAGTTATTTTATTATAAAAAATGTAAAGTTATCATTTTAACCTTTTAAAATTAGTCAAAATTATTGTCAAATTCAATTATTTGGTGAACTAACGGTCAAATTAACATAAACTATCCATTTGAATTTTAACTACGACATTTTGAAAATGCTTGGTATGTGGGCGGCACAAATGAAATGTTTGGTATGTGGGAGGTACAAATGAAAGATTTGGACGAAGTCTGAAACTAAATTAAAGGTCTGGAACCGCTGCTGCAATTATTCCTAAAATATATTACAACCAAAGGACCTTCATAATATTTGCCTATAAAGTAATTTGATAGGGAAAGTAATAGATGAATAGATTTAATTTATTTATTAACGAAAAATCAAGTACCATGCTTTCATGCATTAATGTTAGGGGTGTTAATGGATCGAATTGTGCCGAATTGACTCGACTCATTTGACATCTCTAACCGATGCTAAAAAAAAAGTTGGATAGTGGGCATGATCCCCGTGAAGAGGGTAGTGACCAATTTTCCTCTAATATAATCAAGTTAATATTTGACATTTTCAAAGTTTTTTATGAAGAAAATGAGAGTAATTTCTGTTATTTTATATTTTTAAAAGAATTAGTAAAAGTTTTTTAAGGGATGAGCTATTTTGAGCACTTGATATGCTAATCAGTTTGGACCAAGCTACAAGTGCAAGGATTTAAATCTCTGTACTTGCCAGACAACTCATACCATAGGTGGGTGGGGTGGGATTTTTGTCATTATTTTAATCATGTGGGGCCACTATCATGTGAGACAATTTTTGAATTTCTGTAAAAAATAATCTGTACTTGAGGAATTATTCAATCAGTTTTGGCCTTTATGTTGAGCTACCTATTCATTTATATTGAACTTAATTATATTTACTTATATTAAACTTATAAGCAATTTATTTTAAATTTGGCCAAACAAGCAATGTGATATTATGAGTCCATGATAACTAACAAGCAATTACACTTTATATAAGGATTTTGACAAGTTTCCACAAATCTCGACCTTGTCATTATTACAATTTACAAGAGATGAGATGATTAAGGCTTTATTGACAAATTAAGGAGACAAAATTTACTTTTGGTGGGAAGTAAGAAAAAGCTTATTATTGCACGAAAATAGAGGAAAAAATCACTCCTAAATCGTAGCTTTGTAGCCTAGTGTCAGTTGTAGCAAGGATTAGCATTATTCTTTCAGTAATATGACACCACTTTATCACCAAGAATCACGTATCCAATGCAATGCAGCTACACCTATACATTTTGGGAAATGAGATCCAAGGAAAAGCATCTTCCTAAAACAAAATAGAGCAATGCTTGATGTACATATTTGGATGTACATCATGTATTACACTCCTTTCACAATGATGAGTGTACATCATGCATTACTACGATTTTGGTTGATATAAACAGAATAAGATTTCCTCAAAAAAAAAAAAAACAATAATAATTGATAAAAAAAAAAAAGTAAGTCCATCTTTGATAGAGATTAAAATTTAGAGTCAAAATTAATAATTAATTTAATTATATATTTCATGGGATATACAATTTTTCAACCATATATTTCACCAATTTTCATCGAAATCTAATAAAAATATGATTTTAATCCTTACCGAACAGGGGCTAAAATAGAGATGGAAGAAAGAAAGGAAAAAAAAGTCACAAGTTTTGTGGTAAATTTTATGAAAATTGATTTTGTTTTTTTTGTTTTGTTTTTGTTGTTATTATAAGAATGAGACATGAAAAAGTAAAGAAAAATTATATTATTGAAAAATGTGTTAAAATGAGTTTTAGACAAATGAGTTTTAAAGAATTTCTTCCTAATAGGAGCCTAATCTTCTTCCGCACACAATCAAGGTCGATCTTGTTTAGAAGACCATCAAGTAGTAATGGGTATCTTTAAAATGAAATAATTAGTTTCATTTGTAACTATAGAACCATGCTAATCGATTTTGATTTGTCTGATGCGGATCCTTTCATTAGAGTTTCGAGTTGATTTTCAAGTTGGTCTGGATCCAACCCAAAAACTTTGATTTGATATTTGATTTTAAACAAAAAGGAATTTCCAAGGATTTTTTTTCTTTTGAAATCGATTCGACTTGTATTGATTAGGGCCGGGATGATTTTTAACTATTGTAGGATCGGTTCGATTAAAACTTGACCCATAGCCACCCCTATTTCAACCCTATTATTAATTTCGTGTATGAAAAATATTTTTGAGTTATCAAATGCGAGAGGTCGTTAATGTTAAATAATTTGTAACTAATATGTGCAAACATAAAATTGTACCGTTACAAAGGTCCCAAAATTTCATAGCTCCAAATCCAATCAACTTCTCAAGTAGTGACTTCTCTTATAATAATGTATAATCCTAACGGTAGTATTGAATCAGTCAAACCAATTTACAACCAACCAATAAAATTCCCTCAAATCTTGAACATTCGACCCTCCTCAATCTAATTGGATTTATGTGGTCCCCACATCTCTTTAGTATTCATCAGATCCTCCACGTGGAATCCATCAACTGGCGGTGATCAAATCACTTTATTGAAATCACACTCCAAATGTCAAAACCGCCCACACCGTTTGTCATAAACACACTCTCCCACACAGGCCACACAACTCTGAACCCGATTCGATTAAACCGGTCAAACAAGAAACAAACCAGTCAACACCGTTCCTTATCAGTATCCAAACTCCAACCAACCACTTTCCTCCACGTGTTTCACCACCATTCTTTGATCGTCCCTCAAGAATCCAATGACTCTTCTTTTTCTATAAATCGGTTACTCCCCAGTTATTCACTTGTGTCTTGAGCAACTGAAAATGGCGCGAATTTCCGGGCACTTCCCGGCATTTCCCGCTACCACCTTGCTCTTCCTCATCCTCGTCGTAACTTATCTCCGGCAATGCTCTGGTGGTGGCCATGACTACCATGACGCCCTCCGTAAAAGTATTCTCTTCTTCGAAGGCCAACGCTCCGGCAAGCTCCCCCCTGACCAAAGAGTCAGGTGGCGCAGAGACTCCGCATTGCACGACGGAGCCACCGCCGGAGTAATCTTTTTTTTTTCAACCCCTTCAAGTTAAGTAAGGACTTCATTAGACACTATTACACTAACCCATTTTTGTTTTTCTTTAACAGGTGGATTTAAGAGGAGGATACTACGATGCTGGTGACAACGTAAAATTTGGGTTCCCAATGGCATTCACAATCACAATGTTGTCATGGAGCATTATAGACTTTGGTCGGAACATGGGTGGCGAGTTGGGCAATGCTATAAGGGCAGTGAAATGGGGTACAAATTATTTATTAAAGGCAACAGCTAAGGATGGCATTGTGTACGTACAAGTAGGCGATCCATTGTCGGATCATAACTGTTGGGAAAGGCCCGAGGATATGGACACGTCGAGGATGGCGTACAGGATCGATGTCAACCACCCCGGCTCAGACGTGGCGGGGGAAACCGCCGCTGCCTTGGCCGCGGCCTCGATTGTGTTCCGGTCACGTGACCCGGCCTACTCTAGGCTCCTACTTAATCGTGCCGTTAAAGTAAGTTAGTTATGTTCATGTCTTCTTTTCCCTTCCAATTTACTTTAGCACACACAATGTAAGGTCATGAGAATTGAACAAGAAGCATGCATTCATGTTAATAGTATTTTCGTTATTTTCTTTTCGAGTTTTTCTTTAAAAAATTAATGTTGGTGTGTAAGAACTAATAGTGTTCATATCGTCACGTCATGGGTTTATTTCGCTTTCCTAATGACATTCTTTTATGAATGAAATAATAAAACATGCCAAATATTTACTGTCTTGGGACCCATGAAATGGTACATATTTCAAGATTTTGACCGTTGTGTGTGAAATGGTTGAATTTTTGTAGGTGTTCGAGTTTGCTGACAGGCACCGGGGTGCGTACAGTTCCAGCCTGCACTCTGCTGTCTGCCCTTTTTACTGTGATGTCAATGGTTACCAGGTATCCTTTTACAATTAAATACAAAATTAATTGAGGAATTATGATATTTGTACAATATTTTTGTACAACATTATTGGCAATATTGGTTGTGGCAAATTAAATACAAAATTAATTGATGAATTATGCTATTTGTACAATATTTTTGTACAACATTATTGACAATATTAGTTTTGGCAAAAAAATATGGATTATTCTTCTTGTACATTAGGGTGTACATATAGCAAAGCCCAAAAAATATTAGTTGAAATGATGAATTAATTTTTAAACTGTCCTATGACAACGTAACACGTAATATGTTGTCAACAGTGATGTCAAAATCATTGTACACCAAGCATTGTTCTTGAGGACTATACTGCGATATTTTGACAATCATTAATTTATTTTTAGGTTTTCTATAAGATCATCTGCAACCACACATTCACGCAATAAAATATTCTACACCTATCCAAAAAAAATTTTCTCTACTTTTTTACAATAAATTCTCCTAAAAATACTATTCAAAAATATCCAATGATGTTGCGTCATGTGTCCTCCTATTTTTAATTTTGTCATTGAATCTGTTTGTGTAGCATGATTGCATGAACAATGATGCATGATGAACAGTCATGTCGGGCCTTTACGTGCCAATCTCGTCTCCTTGGCACGTACGGGGCAGATGCGACCATGTACGTATAACACCGTTCAAACTTCATACGGTGATTATGTACCTAATATCGACCTCTCTAACCCTCAGGTTGTGGGCTAGGTTCAATGATCTTTATCATGTATTATAATTTTTGTTCATTCGAACGTCAAAATCTTGAAATTGAAATTAAAACATCATAATATTAGGTTCATAGTCATAGTCATCATAGTGACTAAACATGTAGTCGTTCGTCATGAAAGTTACCAAACCCATGATGGAACATTGAGACCTGGAATCCAGATTTTAATTGTAGAAAGAAAAAGGAAAAGTCAACTCATGAATTTCTTCCATAATTCTTGAACAATCTCCGTGTATATTCTTCTTCTTTTTCGCCTAAAATCCAAACAATAATCTTCAATTTATGTGGAGGATTTTGTGTTATTGTCTCATGCTTCTTGTTTTCTCTCGAATGAATGATAACTCCCTTTTTAAGTCTCTTCAGTTAGGTTAAAAACGAGCTTTAATTGTATTTCGTGGAGAGGTTAAGTCAAATTAGGAAACAATTTTTTATTTTTTTTATTTTTTGCTGTCGGAAACTACCATGTGATCTCGTGCATGGTACCTTGTGTTGCGATCACATGCCTTGTCTTTTGCATGCTTGAATTCATTTATTAGGACGAATAGTTGGATTATATTTTTAATGTATGGTTCCACTTAGGTTTCACCCATTATCTAATAATGCTACACACGAAGATTTAAATGCCCGGACTCAACATTTATCTAAATAACTCCAAACATCGACTTAACCATCCCCAAATTATACTTTCAAATGGCCAAAAGATTGTGTTGTACAACATGTTGGGTTTAACAACTTATGCTCAAAACTCATTTAATCATTTCAAAAATCTGTGATGATACATGACTATCATGCTTAAAATGGGCAAATCTCACAATGATAAGTTTCAAAATAATCCAAGTATCATAATCTATATGCAATTTATGGATCACAAGTAATTCTAAAGATATCATCATTATCTGGCAAGACTATCCACAAGCATACATAAACAAACACAAATACTTTTGGAGTTTTCAATTTTTTTATAATAAAACAGCAAAATGCAATAATATCAAATCACACAAAATGTAGATTGTAATAGAAGGATATAATTTCAATAACCTAAACTATACATTGCCCTCAATATATGCATATACGAAACAAAAGACAATAAATGTAGCAGAAGAGGGATCTATGGACTTTTTGGGGGTGTATTGGATGGTAGGGATAGAAATAGAACCAGTAAACCAGCTATGGATGTACCTGGATGAGCAGTAGCCATTGTGATGTGCACATGAATATCATCCAACTGTCAACCATATCTATCCAAATGTCCAGTAACCTGATCACATGCCCGACTGATGTGATCCTGGTCGAAGTAGATCCGATTAATATCACAATATACCTCGTTTACAATATATGAGCCGTAATAACATATTGTAATACTCCAATACTCGAATCATACACAAATATTTAACAACATTACATATCGCATTAAGGTATACATATACCAAGCACCAATAATACCTCTTATTTAATCATATAGGAGCACATTATAACATAAATAATATTAATTTGCATAGTAGTTGAATCATTATATATCTCTCTCCTCGCCTGTCATAGCATTCAATGATTTGTTTCTTCACGTTTTGCACAACTAATCCACTTGAGTCCTAGCAACCAAGCATCCTATGTATCATTTTTAAGGTTAAATACCATCCAGATGAAGTCCATTGGGACTAAAGATACCAAATATGGGATTTCTGAATGAAACCAGGGATATAGGGTCGATATTTAGGAACTAACACGCATTATACATGGAAAAACTAGAGTTCCACAATTGATATAGAGCTTTTCACAAGACATGATATTCTATTTGAAAAATTATCGAGTCATGAGTTCAATGCCTTTTACAAATATCAATAATGAGCTCTATACAAAAGTTTATGAGTATTTTCGTTCGTGTTGCCCCTTTGTCCTAGTTGAAGACAAAAGGTCAACGCCCCATAGAGAAGGGGGTGAATTCTTAATATTTGTCAGGGGTCGAGCTTTTCCTCAAAATAATTTTTTAACTGTCAAAACATGAAATCCTCCGATATTTATAGACTTTAATAGGGATTTAGGGGCAATAAAATAAATTTATTTATTTGTTCCTTTAGTCCCTAAAATATAAAAACTTACTTTTTAGCACCAAAAGTTCTTTAAAACTTCAAAATATTTTCAAAATTTTTTATTTTATTTTTTTATAATTTTCTAAAATTATATAAATTTTTTTGGATGTTACGATCTTCCCATCTTAAAGAAATTTTGTCTTCTTAAGTTTACACAATCATCGATGTCTTTTAATATCTAAAAATCCTCTATGTCAAGTCTCCATCGTGTAGTGAGCTAATGGTATCGTAGCTATTAGACAAGCATAGGTATTAACTTAGATTTCTTTTTATTAGGCCTTGGCAAAAAAAAAAAAAAAAAAA